CCCCCCCCCGCCCCCAGCCCCCCCAACCCACTGCACCTTCCCCGCCCCCAAGTCACTTCCCCTCTGGGTTTCACTTTCCTTGTTTGCAAAACAAGTGTCTGACCAGGGTGCCCCAAGGTCTGTCCCAGCCTTGAATCTGATTCCATGCCATGTCATGGGTAACCCCAAGGAGATCATTTAATCTTTCTGAGACTCTGGTGGGTTTTTTTGTTTGTTTCTTTTCGTTGTTTTGCAAAATTGGGGACAGCTGGACTAAATGATTTCTAGAGTCCTGGGAAGCTTTTCGTCAGAGATCCTCTGATCTGTGTATTGCATATGCAAGTGCTCACATACAGAGACTTCTCTAGGGTTGCAGGCCCCCTGCTAGCAGGTTCCCCTTGTACAGGCTCTCATTTCCCAGTTGAGTTCCACTGTATAAACAGCTTCAAGTCCTTTTCAATTCCTGGGCCGTAGAGGTAGTACTCAGAAGGAGGAGGCAGACAGTAGAGGTTCTCTGTTGCCCCTTCCTGGGATCTCCCTTTGGGTGGGTCCTCCAGAGGGTTCCCCCCAGGGACCCACAGGTCCCCATTCCCAGCCTCTGTCTCCCTACAGTGGTAACCGGGGCCACAAGTGGAATCGGCAGGAGCTATGCTCATGAGGTAAAGGGAGGCCTGGGGCCAACTGAATCTGTCTTTAATGTACCTGGGCATGGCCCCACATGTCTGTTCCATTGCATTCCACATACATTGTCCCATGCATTCGGTGTTTTCTCCCATGCATGTTACTCTCTATGAGCCCTGATCATTTTCTAGAGCCTCAGGTCATGTGTTTGCAAGGGGATTCCTGTGTAAATATATATAAATGTAGTAATTAATGTCACATGTGTATGTATATACATGCATACATACAGAAAGACAGATAGATGCTAGAAAGATAAGTAGACAAGATGGATATGTACACAAATAAGTACATCCATATTTGTCCTGAGTGTTTCTGCCCATTGGTTTCTATGAATTCCCCACATCCCTCTTTGTCTTATGCACACCTGCTTATCTGTATGGACCCTCTTGAGTCTTCTGTAGGTTTAGGAGGTTCTGTGTGCCCACTCCCTCAATCTCCCCATTCTCCTGTCTCCATACAGCTGGCCCGAAGAGGCCTCAACGTTGTACTGGTCAGCCGAGATCTAGACAAGTTACGTCGGGAGGCAGAGGACATTGGTGAGGGCCGAACTAGAAAGGAGGGGCATGGGTGAGAAGTGAGGCTGCTCAAGGTTCCATGATGGGATATGGAATCAAATGACCCAGGTTTGACACAGCTTTGCTACATACTACCTGTGTATGAGCCTCAGCCAGTCAGTCCCATTTCTTCTCTGGACCTTTCTTCATCTATATAATAAGGAGCAGCACTGAGCTTCCGATTCTGAATTCTCTGAGTTTTCCTACAGAGAGACTCCATGGTAAGGAAACAAGAGTCATCCAAGTGGACTTCACTGGAAGCTTAGAGGTCTATGAGATAGTTGAGAGAGCCTTGGAGGGCCTAGAGATCGGCATTCTAGGTATGCACCCACTCCCTCTTCCCTTCTAAGTCCTGCCCCCGGAATTCCTCTCCATCCCCTTGCTCTGTGGTCCTCACCTCTTCTTTTGCAGTCAACAATGTGGGTGTAGCTCCCAAGATAATCCCCCAGAAGCTGATGGATTTGAAGAATGCAGGCAAGGTAGAGAAAGCTACATCCCCCACCCCCACCCCAGCTCATGCCCTTTTCCATTTCTCTGACTTTTTCCATCCCTTATTCTCCCCTCCCTCTTTCTGCCCTCTTTATCTGCCCCTTCCCTCATCACCCCATCTTCCCTCCTACCTCACAACCCCCACCTCACCAACCTTTCTAACCAGGCAGAAAGTGCTTTGTCAATTTAAATCAGG